TTCCCCCGCCTCCGAAGGTGTCATAAGATGTTTGGATATAGGGCCTCCTGTCTTCTGCCACACATAGCAAAAGTGTGACTGAAGCACACCGGCTCCATCGCGGGAACCTGAAGGGCAAGAAACTCATAAATCGACTCTCATCAGGTCATAGGTCCTAGGTCCTATGTCATCCTGTGGACAACAACTATGTTTGATTATTTTTGCAGGGTTGCAACCCTGACTGCACCCTGTCCTTGGCAAAGAAGCTGCACCACCGGGCCATCTCCAAAATATTGCAGTGGTTCCATACTAGATCCAAGCATACAAACTTTGACACCCAGTTTGTTCACCACCCACTCGATGATTTCTTCACCTGGACCAAAAAAACATACAACGGCACAACTTTGATTTAAACAAACAAATAAAAACATACAGAAATACAGATAAACCATCATAAGGCCATGAAGTCCAGTCCTGGTACGGCGTAAGCTGCAAATGCTGTCATGACCTTCTCCGCAAACTTGGCATCTGCGCCCTTGTTGAGTGCACACCATTCAGTGAACCACTTGCTGACTGCTTTGTCCTGCTACAAGTCTCATGTCATCAAAAAACAAAAATTAAAAGGAATACTGTCACAATGCTACTCCAACACTTTGATTTTAGAAAGAACATATCATGACACACCCAAATGACCAACAAAAGCACAAAAACAACAGACTAGACCATCGATGATGTCCAAAGTGTACTGGACACATCATTTCATAAGCCGTCCTCCCACTCCAAGCGTTGAGGGTCAAGTGCAAACCCAGTTTCATTTCGAGGAATTTGTGACCACTGGTGGCGTATGTACTCAGACGCCTGAGAAAGAAACATGCTGGAAAAAAAGCATCGGCCATTTGCTGCAACTGGAAGGACATTCTCTGGAGGTGGGTGAACAGGTGGGCCAACAGGCTCAGGTGCTGGAGGTGGGTCAACACGTGGGCCAATAGGCTCAGGTACCGGTACTGGTCCCATGTCATGGAGCTGAATGCAAGCCAGCGCCACAGCTATGGCGACACCAGCGCACGCCATATGCTGTCCATTCCCCACGGCAACATGCGGCCTCGAGAGAATCGAAGGATCGAATACCTCAGAGAATCGAGTGACAGACACATACTATACTCTGCTATATATATATACTGCACTATTCTACTCAGAGGAGGCATGACATGGGACCTGCCGCTCACAAAATGACCGACAAGGTACAGGAACAGAAAGGCACTGAGCAAGTTCCGGGGTCATCGGGTATCCGTGACCACTGAACTTTTCAATGGCACAAAGGGGTCTGTCCAGTTTTCGGATCCACACGATCTTGTCCGTGCATGTAAAGGCCGGAAGCACCCCAGCAGAAGTCATTTTGGACAAAAACTCTGGGTTTTGACTTGGCACATACACTTGCTGGTCGGCGGGAATACCTCGAGCATCCATGGTCTTCTCGTACAACTTTTGGTTGTCCTGCTCAAACTTTGTTAAGACTTGCTCCCGTGATCTTGAGGTGCCTGAGATCAAATTCTTTATTTCTTCATGGACTTGTTGTTCACTTGCCCAGCACAGATCGTCCAAATGAACCTGTCTCGAAGCTAAGCGTGAACAGCATTTGTCATACAATGCTTGCGGCTCATGTATGAATGTGCCCGCATCCTTGCGCAAGAAAATGCAGAATGCCCTTCTGCGGGAAATCGATCCAAAGCCAACATCCCCCGGGTCTGTGAACACTACCTTGGCTGTCTAGATTCTGGAGTAGAGTGTGGTCCTATGTCATGAAGGTATGTGTCTGGTTTGGGGGGGTCAATACAACTATAGGAGAAAGATCAAACTAGAAAGGGAAAGGACAAAGAAAGGTCCGCAGATCTAAAGAAGGAAGAAAGGAAAGGAATGAGGAGAGGAAGAAGACATGCAAAAGGAAAGCTAACAATATCTCTTTAAACATACTGCTAGAGCTGAGACTCCCTGCACTCCATTTCGTCCGACAGATGTTGGCAAATCCGCAGTCCGATGTTTCCAGTGGTAACATTCTCGGATATCATAATCTTTACACGTTGGCTCTTCATCCAATTCAAGTGCACAAGCGTTACCTCAGACCGCATGACAAGGGATGTACTCACCCAGCAGGTTTGATTACTATACACAATGATGACCCTGACAACTTCAATCGAGTTTACACAAGTGGTCCTCAGACTCATGAATGGATTCTACACACATGCAGGCATGCTACTCTTCTAGCCTCCCCCGAATCCATCTTTTTGGCCCCCATGGAGCTGTCATCCACACAAGGAGCGCCAAATACAGCCAGGTCAATGTTTTCTGGAAATTCACAGCGCCTCCCATGTTGCGCGCACTGTGCTCCTGTCTCCCAAATAAAGCCGGGTTCAAGAGTATTGACAGCTACCTCCCGCAGATGCGCTGGAAGCACGTGAATGGCATCGGTGTAAACACATGATGTAGGAAAGTCCCGCGCCAAAGTCTTTTGTGCATGCCACACTTTCTCTGTGAAGGCAACCTTGGTCTTACACGCAGAGGTCTAGATGTGGCTGCATCATTTTCCATTAGTGGCTGTATGTATTACCCAATCTATCCACCCAACCACCATCCAACCCCTAAATATAGATGACATGGGATTCACAGAGTTGACTTCAGCCTAATATGAAAACCGCCTGCATTTGCAACAACACCTGAGTCTTGCACATGCTCAAATTTGCACTTCACAACTTGGTTGTTCTGGAGCACCACTGCACTTCGTGATTGTGTACACACTCCTGACCAGTGAGAGGTCACCCTGAGAAGACGGGGTGAGGCTGCAATTGGCTGCACTTCACCTTTGAGACCATCTAGGTGTGATTCAATCTCCTCGCGAAGCACTCTTGGCCACTGAAAAGCTGAAACAAGGTTTTGCCGCTTGGAAGGGTCCATTAAAGAAGGTGACCGCTGGCGGTTTCGAGGCCATTTTGCCGGGTAGGGCTGGTTGTTGAAGTAGCCAAGGCCGTCATCTGTACTGCGCTTCTTTGCCTATCACAAGAAATAAAGGAAGGACTGACCATGACATAGGACCTAGGACCTGTACAGAAGCTAGTCGGAGCCTGTTCCCGCAACTTTTGGCCAAGCTCCTCCAGGGCTTTCCGTCCTTCCGACATTTCCTGCAGACAAGGACCCGCACCACCAGTACAGGATATCTGGAAATCTGGGTTGGCGGGTTGGCGTTCTTACAAAGAAAGCCACAAAATTAAGTGCCTGCTTCACCTGGACTTTACAGGCTTCGAGCTTTTGCACCTGCGCAGGAAATCAGCAAGACCATGGAGGGAGGACCAACCCTCAGGTGGCTCATGGAGAACTGCCTTCACATCCGCAACTCCGGGCATTGCTTCATCAAAACCGGCCGGATCAGCCTGGTCAAACAGAAAACGAGAACAAACACTGGTCGTGGAAGAGATGTCTAGCGTGAGTGCTACAGGCGCATGACAAAGGACTGCCAGTGCCTGTTCCACCTTGACTTTTTGATGTTCAGCCTTTGCAAGCTGTAGTAGCAATCAAAAAGGAATGAGGCACTGCAAAACTATGCTAGATACCTTGATGAAAAACATTAGATTCACAGGTTTCACACACACACAGGCACCATCTGAGGGGCGGCCTCTTTGTGTTTAGTTTGTGTGGCAACTTCAGCCTGCAAAAGGCATGCAACATGCAAACAAATGGTTTGAACAAACCCCTGCAAACTTTGAACGCATTTTGCTGGTCCACTAACAAACGTCTTCTATCCGCACACCAAGTTTAGAGGAAGAAACATAATGAAACGGATTGCCCTGTAGACAATAGCAACACAGCGCTGCATGACATGGGACCTGCATGTGATCAGGGCAGTGATCAGGGCTTGCTGCAGCATGTGCCTCAACCACCTGCCAACAGCAGACACATACGCTTTTGAAGTGGAACTAGTGAGGTGGTTCAACACATTTGCATAGTCTGAGTGGTTTGGAGGCTTCTTCAAACCAATCTATCCTTGTACAAAGGTCTCAGTGGGATGAACAATGCAACAACATGCTCCATGACATGGGACCTCCTGCATCTCTTCATGGTGCGGCATT